GAGCGGGCCGGGGAGGGGGCGAGCGGGGGCCGGGGGGGAGGGCGGGGGGGCCGAGGACCTCACCCCCCCCGCGGGCCGGGCCTGGCCATCCGCAGAGCGCCCCCCCTTCTGCCGCGGCCGCCGCGCCCCTCCGGGCTAGCCCGCCCCCGGCTCGGTCCGGCCGACTCCGGGCGCGGCGTCTCCGCCTGCTCTTCCTCCTCCTCTTCCTCAGGCCGCCGCCGCCGCCGCCCGCTCCGCGCCTCCTCTGCCTCCCTCCTCGCTCTCTCGCTCTCACTGTCTCTCCCTCACCCTGTCTCTCTCTCTCCCTCCCTCTCTCCCTCCCTCCCCTCCCTCCGCCCTCTCCCCTCCCTCCGGAGCCGGCGGAGGAGACATCGCCCCTCCCCGCGCCCCCAAACCTCGCCCATCCCCCCCGCCGGCTCCGCCCCCTCCCCCTGCCCTCCCTCACCACTCCTCATCGCCACCGGATAACCCAACCGGGCTCTACCCCTGCTTGTCCCCCTACCCGGACCATGGGGCCCCGCCCCCCTAAGGGTACAGCTCCACACACACACCCCAGGACCGCCCCTTCCCACAGCGCTTCCCAACCCGTCTATACACAGTAGGGCACAATAAATATTTGTTGTTAGACTCTAGACCTCCAGATTGGATTGTGAGAGCTATAGAGTCCCGTCCCCCCCAAACACACACACACACACACACACACACACACACACACACACACACCTTCCCCCAAGGCACAGGTGCTTAGAGTCACTAGGTGGCCCTGCACGTGCGCACATTCCCCCACATACACACTCTCCAGGGCATGCATGACCTAACATACCTGAGTGTACATCACCGCAAACACACCCAGCTACAACATGTACATATCACACCCGAGTGCCAGAGCATCCTCGCCCCACAGCATCAACCACCCCCCACAGGGGCCCGCAGATGCTCAGATCTCCAGCTCACACGCAACCCAGAAACAGAGACACACAACTGTAAGGAGTCGTGTGCATGCGGCCCCATCATACCCACCCACCTCACCATCCATCACACAGGTGTGCACACACCCATTTAGATGCACAACACTGTACCATAGCTCCCCTCCGCAGCTGACATTTCTTGAGCACTTTGCGTGTGCCATGCTCTGCTCTGGATTTACTCATCACCTTCTCCTACCAATCCTATGGGCTATGGACTTTCACCATCCTCATTTTCCAGAGGGGGAAACTGGGGCACAGAGAAGCTAAGTAACTTGGTGCCCAAGGTCACCTAGCCATAAAGAGGTGGTACCAAGGATCAGGGACAGGCAGGCTGGCTCAGTCTTTATACCACTGTTTGTTCACTACTAGGCATACCATCGCTGCATGGCTTCCTTCATTGCACACAGACACTCCCAAGGTCTCCTCAAAGCTCGGGTCTCTGGTGCCCAGGACATACCAGAGAGACAGGGCAGGTCCCGTAGGGCAATGGTGAGAGTGTCCCCAGAGCCCAGGCGCCTATCCTTCTTCCAGCTCCACCAGTGCCTCCAGGGCTGCCAGCTGGAGCACAGGCCCCTGCAGAGGGCAGTTCTGAGACACCTCTGGCCGCATCTCCAGCTGTGGGCTCCAGGGTACCAGGGTCTGAGCCAGCCCAGCCCCAGGAGGCCTCGCTCCGGATGCATACCCATCAGCCCAGGTGGTGAGCATCTGGGCCCCGGGAGAGAAGAGCTGTGCACACTGGCATCAGCAACGACAGAGGCTGTGCACCCCTCTACAGTTTACAAGGCCTTTCCTAGCCTGTGCATTATCTCTTGAGGCCTCTAGCTGCTAGTGAGGGGTCCCCAGGCCCCTAATAGGCCGCCAAAAGGGCCAGGGGGTAAGCAGCTTGCCCTCATGTCACACTGCCTTCTGCTTTCTTGGAAAAGGGAAGGCTGGATGAGTGGATTTCCAGGACCCCTCCTGGGGCTCCCAGCAGCTGAGGGCCGATGCCCCTGCTTAGAACCAGAAGCCTTGGCTAGCCGCTGCCACGCTGGTGACCTCCAGCAGGCTACGCTGTCCCTTCTCTGAGCCTCAGTTTCTTCCCTTGAAGAGTGGGCCCTGCAATCCCTGGCTGCTGAGCTCCATGTTCGCTGGCACAACCAGCCAGGCCCCGGCTGGGAAAGCCCTGCATGACTCATGGGTCTGGCATGGAGTGGGCATAGCCTGGCCTCCTGCTTCCCTTGCCTCTGCAGCTTCTCTCCCACTGCCCTCACCACCTCCACCCTGGTGACCCCCCCCCCCCCCGGCCACCATGCCCCTGTGCCCCTGCCCCGGGGAACGTGGGGTGCCACTTAAACACAGTAGTCAAGTCTTCACTCTTTGGCTAAGCTGTTACCCC